TGGCCACTGGTCCAAACGTCTCCTCGTAATCAATGCCGTATTGCTACGAGAATACTTTGGCAACCAGACGTCCTTAAAAACGGTAAATCTCACCAGACTGGTTCTTCTTGATCCGAGCTATCGATCGACAGCCCATCGCCCTTGGGCAATAGTACCAACTGCCACGTCTTGTTCTTGTTGAGAGAGTCAATTCAGGAGTCGCACGGATCCTTCCACTGAACCCCATTGCTAGATTCCAACGCCGACTTGAACATTATTGGCATTTCTCCCACTAATTATACAACATTCTCTGCGTGAAGATCGTACGGTGCCCGCGCAAATGCTGACATGTCTTTTCGTGTCTAAGAACGATTTTACTTTTTTAGGCGCTGGGTTATTAACTGCGTGGTCAAACGAAGGATTTTGGGTGTGGTGCTTGACCCAGGCGCAGTGTCTTCGTCATTATCATCTATATCCGTTGTAGAAAATCATTCTTAATCAGTGGCCTCATCATCTGAAAAATTTACGAACTCGTCTTCGCTGCTAAAGCATTCTCTCCGCATCCGACGCATCCGCGTCCACAGGTGTCAAATACCACTTCGTTTACTGACCGCCTCCCACTCTATTCGGTCAATGCCTCGTCATGAGGTGTTTGCACCTCGTTGTCCTCAAAGACAACCGTCATTTTTGACTAAACCGACCCTCCAGGGCCAGTCCCTCGTCGTTAGGTGCATACACCTCGTTTTCTTCAAAGATAACATCCATTGGTGACTTTACCGGCCCTTCAGGGTCGGTACTTCGTTGTTAGGTGCATGCACCTCATTGTCCTCAAAGACAACAACCACTGACGACTTCACTCGACCCTCCAGGGTCAGTACCTCGTTGTTAGGTGCATTCACCTCATTTTCCTCAAAAATAAGATCAATTTGTGACTTTACCAGACCATCCAGGGTCAGTTTCTTGTCACTCATGTCACTTGGACTCATGTCCTGACATCTTGGCTTGCAGCCACCAACACCACTCACGGTGTTTAATGATGTAACATCATTCTCATGATACATGTCGTATGTTCCATCTAGTAGGATCTCATCCTCATTATCGACAGTCATTGGGTTTCGCCCAGGACTATTGTAGTTGACACTTACAGTGTCTACAAAGTCGGATATTCCGACATCCAACATAGTGACCGACTCGGTCCAATATCCGCGCCAAAAGCGCTTTTGCTTCCTAGCAGAGGTGGGATTTCATGACTCTCCAGAGCCCCGGCCGGTATCAGAATGTATCTACGTAGGACCGCCGACCCAGTATCGAGGAGCCGACTTTAATCCGGTTCCATCGCAAACTATTCTTCAGTCTCCTCTGTACAGTCCTTAGGAGATACATGAAAACCCATAAAAACATTATTTAAATGTCTCTCATACATCTGAGGCGCATTCTTGAGTCCAAATGGCATCCGCAATTAAAAACCCAGCAGGGTGAAAAAGTCGAGATCCTTCTCGCCTATTCGGTCATACCGAGACCCAAAAAAACAATTCCCATGCCAGGGAGCAGTACACAATGCTTGATTCAGGTCCTCCAAAATTCGTTGATTAAAGGCATGGGGCAGACCATGAGTAGGGTCAAGTCGTTCACCAACCAAAAATCAATACACATCCTGATGTGGTGGAGTGAGATCTCAAAACTGCGTAATGAGACCCCAAGCACTCACTGTGCCAGACTGCCGACTGTCGGAGGGGTACCCCGATGCCGGTATAGACCTTCTCTCACCTTGTGTACCCGTCAGCTGGCGGGTTGCAATCTTCGGAGGGCTTGGTTGAGATGTGATGTCGGCCTCGAGAGAGGTCGAAATTGGCTTGCCACGAGTGAAAATACTTCACATGGTAGGCGGGTAGGTGGCACTCGGTCGACTAGGTCGAGGGTGGACTTATAACCAAATTCTTCAGGGGAGGTTCTCAATCCTGGCCTTTTCCTTCCTTTTCCTTGATGTCTCAGGGGTGTAAACCGCCTGGACTTTATTGCTTCGACACAAGGCTAGGAAGACCGTTCCGATAGCCACCAGGAGCATTGCGCGTAGCGCCTAAGGTCTTCGACCTCCAGTCAATCCATGGCTCATGACGTTCTAGCCATGCCATGCCTAGGATGAGGTCATACCTTGCATCCAGATTTAAGACCAAACAGCGTTCTATGCTGTTATAGTCCAGCCGTAACACGCGAAGTGTCGCTAAGCAAACTGTGACTGTGTCACTCTTACGCGCTCTAATCGCTTCAGCATACTGCTGAATACCTTCCATGGTGGCACGGCCCCCAAAATTGCCTGATGCCTCCGAATCGATCAAAATGATCCATGGCTTATCCTAGCCCTTAATCGTCCCTTCGACGACTAGCAAGCCTGGCTTGTATTCTCGTTCCGTTTTAGAGAGTTCGGGTCTCTTTGGGGCTGGTCCCTGTTTACTCTACCTCCTGTATGTTCAACAAAGCTCAGTTCTTCCCCATTATGGCGGCCCGCGCCTACTGGGTTACGCCGTTTCCCCGCGGCAAACCAGAGTGTTTGCCCATGGGTCGTCGGCCCTTCGAGGCCAAATATGCCTTTCTTGCAAGGCATTTTGCCATCAAATGGCCTGTGCTCTTGCAGATATAACATCAGCGCACAATTTGCTGCTCCGCAGCATGAAGCTCAGCTTCTTTTTTTCCACTTGAGTACAGTCCATGAAAACAGACCCATCAGACGGGTACTTATAAGTGGCAGGCCTAGCGGACTTAAAGTTGGTCTCGGCATTCCATGCCACTCCAACAGCTTCCTCGAATGAGGACGGGTTTACCCGGAAGACTTCCGTTCTGGCAACGCCAACTCGGAGGCCCTTCATGAAGACCGTGACGTGTCACTCACTGCCTTAGGCATAGGGTCTATTACCATGGCAGCAATGGGTGATCTCAACTCTCGTACATATGCCGCAAGCTCACGCTTACCTTGGCGACACGCCAAAAACTGCGACCAATTACGGTGTGCTTGATTTGACGGTGTATACTGCCGGGTCATCTGAACTTTCGGATCGGCCCATGTGGGAGAAGCATCTTGCAATGATGCACCACATGTGAATGCCCACTGTTTGGCTAAACCACCACACTTGTCCGTGGCAAAGCCCACACGGTACGACTCATAGGTGATGTCGGCTATAAACATAGCTGATTTAACCTGTCGGAGCCAAAGCATAAGGTTGTCACCTTCTTTGCCGTCGAACTTATCGACTTCCATTTGTACGGATTTCGGTCTGCGGACCACTTCTTGCGCCATAGTCGCCATGGGCGAAGGCGCAGAAGAAGGCGTTTGTGCCTTTACATGCTCGACTAGAGCTTTATGGTATTCTTCAAGCATATGAATACGCTTGTTAACCTCTTCTTTATCCTCGGCGATAAGCTACTTCACGCATTTAGGGCCAAGGATAGGAAGCAGCATCTGCAACCATTCCTGTTGTACCTGCGACAGGCCAATCGCTGACATCTCTTCGATGTCCATTCTCACACAGAGAAGTAGTCGCAAAACCATGTGCGGGATTGACTAGTAGTGCGACCAGGTGTAGCCAAGCTACTGTAGCTACGCTACTTATGCACTATGTGCAGAAAAAGTTGTCAGACTACTGTAGCAAAGCTACGTATGACTGTGTGAGAAGAAGTAGTCAAATACTGTAACAAAGCTACTTATGCACTATGTGCAGAGGAAGACAAGCTCAGAGAGCTTCTACGTCATAGGATGTTTAACCCTCCTAGGCTAGTTCGTAAGCTTGTGACTATCGGTTGTCACAACCGTGTCTCAAAGGGACTAGATTTAAGAATACTACTTCCTGTCTTTCGAGGTAGAGAACGCTTTAGCAGTGATGCTTATAGAGGTTTGAAACTGATTTATATCTATGTTTATCTTCTAACACTAAATATAGAAGCACCTACTCTATACTTAGTGCTAGTCACTATTTTCTGGTCCTGTAGCCTATTGCTATGTAAACATGTATAGTTACTATACTCAAGTATAGTGACCACATGGCTCTCTGAAGTGGACCTTCGTACCTTAGATACGGTACATCGAACCTTCTAATGTAAAGTAGCAACACATTTGTGAGGAGGTGTGTATGTACATTTCACACCTTTGTGTAACCCCGTTACAAGTAGCGGTTGCAGCCGCGCGCTAGATCGCCGACGCGTAACAGATACCAAATACTAACACGAAGATAGATCGCGTCGACCAAGCAACATATTCAACTCTTTAACTTTCATTGTTGTGCTTGGATCGCCACGCTATCACTTTAAAATTATCAACATAGTTAAGTCTACTTTATAAAACAAGCCTAAACTTTGCTTTACGTGTATTTAAATATGATACTTATTCAACGTTTTCTGTTAATTGGTGGTTTGTAGTGTATATGGAAAGCTTAAGACTTCAGATTGAACACAAACTCACGTGCTTGCGCCCACTCCGTCGCAAGAGATAAATGGTAAGGCTTGAAAGCAAAGCTCTGTCCGATCATTAGGATGCAACATGACACATCCTGATTTACATGCACGAAGCAGTCATTATTTCAATTTATTATCTGGCTAAAATGAGATTAAAGACGTAAGCTGTAGCCTGTAGAATTAATTGCGCTGAAGAATCCATAAATTCAAGCAGTAATTACTGGTGATCTCGTTGCAGTGGATTAAGGTAACTTACCCAATCGTATGCCGCACTCTTTCTGAATTCCCTGTCTGTTGGTCGATGACGCGATTCACGTTTCTAGCAGCTTTTGATGTGCGACAGCGTAGCACCAGGCTATTGTAGTAGAAACACCCTTGAAAGGAAACGCCAATACTTTCACTTATACTTTACTAGTAATGGAGTACACGCCGTAAGTTGATGTGACATTCCTATTTGTTAGTCTACTGTGTCATTTTCAGTATCGTCGTAATATTATGTACGTCACATTAACTGAGACGACCATCATTCCGTTCCGCACTCGTTTTTTGCCATGGCGACTCCACCAAGTCCTAATCTCATGGTCTTTGACGATCATGAAGCATCCTTTCCTCTAACTCCGGCACCAGCAAGTCCATGTGTATCTTCTTTTGATAACATACAGTCATGCACTGTGTCACCTTTAGCTATGCCATCCTTTCCCATTGAGACCTCCCCAAGCGACGTCAAGACAGAGCGGAAATCGCTGCATTTTTTCATCTCATGCTGTGGTGTAGACGGTCACTCACTCGTTCCATCTACGCGCTCAGCGCAGACGTTTGTACGTGGTGCATTTAATATGTTGAGTAATGCTACGACTATGAACAGTACCAAGTCACCGCGAGCTAAACCCCCAACAGAAGTCAATGTGGAAGTTCGTGTCTTTCAAGAGACACCAATTGCTGATCTTCAAGCAGATGATTCTATCCATCTAAGTGCTGCCCCAGTATTTTTAAACAGTAAAATGACACACGAGATGGACAGTACTTTTGGAGACTTTACTGATGGAATTACGGACAAAAGAACGCTTCCAAGTGATGGATTAATCGTACCAAAGAGTGTTCAAAGTTATTGGAGTGAACGTCATAAAAGTCGTAATCCTCGATTTTCAGTGGGATTTAGTACTGAATGCAATAATTTGGCAGAATACGATCGACATGTTCAAATTATGGTCATGATCCCGGATGAAGGCACGTCATCGAATCGAAACAGTCAATTGTTTGGCTATGCCTTGACATCATTTCGGGAAATGTATGCTGTAGCTACGAACGGAAACTATAAGCAACAAATGACGCTGCCAGTGCATTCAAGAGTGCTGGATGGAGCAACGGTCACACTGCGATTTGCTAACATTCAGCAGCAGCAACATCCACTCTTTGCGGCACACCACAATTTGTGTAAAATTTTTGTCTTTTACCCGTTGATGAAAGAAAAGCACGTAGAGATGCAAGTTGCGAATGCAAAACTGGTCGTCGAAGAAGCGGCTGAAGTAGACTTTAGTGTCAAGATCCCGTTGCAATTGCTGCGGCTGTGCCAGCGTGAATTGTTGCAGTTGTACAAAATCTGGAAATTGCGCTACAATTACACTCGCAAAAAGCACCGTTACTTTTTTAACGACGCAGAGGCGCTTAGCTTTGGATATGACGTATTTCGAGTTCAAGTTGTATGTGGACGTGGATTGAAGATAAGATCACGTACCACTGCGGCCGCAGCGACTGCCGAAGCTGAAATGATAACAGACCTGAATGTACGCTCGTCGCGTTCATCAAGCTTTACAATAGGAATGGCTGGAGGACGAGGAGGATTCGTTAATCGAATGAAATCTGGAAAATGGGGAAATAACGGATCATCTTCATTTGGTAACCATGACCCTGACACCACGGACGCTGGAGGTGAAACTATCCATAGTGTTCATCCTTTCGTCGTGGTTAAGTTTGAAGATGGCGTGCATGGAAACCACGAGTACACTGTAGGAAAAACTAACACAGAGTATGATTCGCCTAATCCCGTGTGGTCAACAAATAAGTTTGCTGGCACTAAATGCCCACATGGTAAGCCGAACACTAAGTTTTATGTGTCGCAGACAATGAAGAGCCGCGTAGTTGTGTCTCCCGTAAATGCGCTGAAGGAATTTGTGTTTTATCGATCAAATGTGCCTGGCCCGCCATTGACAGGATGGTTGCGTTTTCAAGTATTTAATGAGCATTATGGTTACCTCTGTGGTATTGAAAACGATTTGATTGGTGAAGTGATGATTCCATTGCAAAGCGTTCGAGAAGTCATGGTAGTAGAAGATAAAACTGTATTTGACGATGATGACGGTACTGAAGGCAACACAGGTGGTAATTACGAGATGAAAGCATGCCAAATTGTGACATCCTTGACTCTTGTTGACTGGTTTGATGTCCGATCACCTTTGACCGATGAGATATTTGGACAAATTCAACTTCGCATTAATATTTTACTGGCAAACCCTCTGGAGCCTCCGAGCGATGACCTTTTGGATCATGTACCAGAACCATCTTCAGTTCTTCCAAGAAGATATAGGCGTGTTGCTGACTGCTCGCCTCCACCTGGTGATAGTATTCTTGAGAGCGAGATTCCTTTGAATTTCTTATATCCGCATGTACTCAATCTTCGGAAACAGGTAGCTGAGATCACCGATATGTGTCGGCTAACTGAACACATGGTTGAAGAGAAGAAAACTTTCAAGTCAAGTTTGCACAAAAAGCATGCTGACATTCAAGCGATACCGACAAACTTGCACGTATCATATTTACGCATCTTTCGTTACTTCGGGGGTGCTCAGTCTGTACAGTACCCGCAAATGGATGCACAAACAGCAACTAAAGATTTGCTTGGTTTAGACGATTGTGGTGCATTATCTGTTACGCGGGGTTCTTCATCGATACAAGAACGCATGATGGGTCCAGAAACACATGCAACTGTAACTTGTGGTGCTCCGACTGCACATGCGAGGGGTTTTAGTGATTGCGGTTTGCGGGAAATGGAGCTTGAGATGCACAACTTCGAATCTATTCTAGAGAAAAGCGCCCCGCTACTAAAGGTTGGTGCGGACAGTGACGACAACAGTTTTATTCGGGAAGACTTGACTGGCTTTTTCTACCCTCCGTGTGAAGATGAAAGCGAGGTGGAAGTCGAAGACGACGTTCGTAGCACCGGAAGCGGTGCTCCTTCGGATGATGTGCGTCTTTCAGATGGGCCTGATTTGTGTGATTTAAGTAGCCCTATATCTGCCTCTGAAACCCCAATCAAACCTGTACAAAAGAAAAAGGCCTCGAAGTACTCGATAATGGCTCGTAAAGCCGCAACAGCTCGAGCTAGGGCACTGTCAAGCCATAGATTTGCAAACAAGAAGAGCTCTCGGCAGTTACAGAAGAAGAAGAGCAACGAGAAAACTGTTGTAGATGCAAAATACCCTTCCCTTTGTATCGAGCTAACAGAGGGTGTTGACGCAACAACTTCCATGCACTATGCTGTCCGAATTTTATGTCGTCTGGAAATGCTGCGTGCTGAATACTATTTGAGAAAGAGTGTAGCTGTTTCTCAATCTGTAAGTAGTCTTGTCACCTGCTTCATGGCGGAGCTAGATTTATGCCTCCAGGAGCGGAATGAAAAGGTTCTGGATCAAATGGCAAAGGTCGGTTTTTTAATCGGATGGGAGAGCCTCATCTCGTCGCACGGAAAGGAATTGTACATGCTTTCTGACGCTTGGGTTGCCATCAAATGTTTAGAGACGTTTTCGTTTCAGCTCTGTGAGGGAGCTGCCATGGAAGTGTTGATTGAAGAGCAAGAGGACGTGGGCTACATTATTAGAGTCGTAGTCCCTTCGGTTCAGTTTTCGCTACTTCCCGAAGTTTTAAGGCTTGGTGGATTAATAAGTGTCACGGCGGTGTTATTTACGCAAGGTATTAATGAAATGCAGAGTTTAGCGAACATGGTGGGACATTCAGGAGTATCAATTCAGCACAAAATTAACAGCACGAGCTTTTGCACCATGTCAGTATATTACAATCGTCTTACTGAAATGTGTGGCATTGGGATGTCCGAAGTGAGTGTAGGCTCTCACCCCGACGAGATCTTGCGTAACTTGCGCATGAGCGTGGAGAGCGAAAATTCTGCCTCCAAAAATACGTGTATATTGCTGCATGCCGCCGATGCTGTGCGTAGTCTCAATGGCGGCCGGGTCACGTATTGCAAGTCCGGCAAAGATCGGACGGCGATGAGCACAACACTTGAACAGGCTAGGCTATTGGTCCAACGGAAACGCCACGTGCTCCAAGAGATTGAATCAGGAAGCACTACAGAGTACGGGCCGCTCGAAGAAGTGAAGCAAGTGGCCAATATGATGCGAGAGTTTGGTGTCCGCATCCACATTGCCAAGAAGAATGTCGGCCGTTTTAAGTACTCGTTCAACTCACTGCAACGAAAGTTGCTACCGGAGATATACCGGCCACCTATGTCCACGATTCAGGACATGGTAACGTCCGTCACTGCGCGGGATTCTTAGCTCGTAGACGTGTCAAGAAAAGAGATGTAGGATCAATGCACATTTTCATTCAAAGTTGTATCTTAGACATAAATGTCCACATGGACATCGAGCGCAGCAAGATGGAAACCACCTCAGCCGTAGCAGCCAAGTATGATTAGAGCAGCCAGAACTTTTTGCCGCACGTATGTAAGTGTCCATCTTTAACACGCATATAGAATCTATTCCTCGTCCCCCTCATCGCTTTCCTCTTCTGGCGTCTCAAGCCACGTGAGCCACGTCGAAGTCTGAACAATAGCCTTCATACGACCAGGAACGTCTCGGTCCACATCATACTTGTATTCAAAGAAACCAGATTCATCAATGATGTCAAGACTGTACAGTGCCATAAAACATTTCTCGAGCAAACCCTTGGGAAAGTCGTACGTATTCAGGAAGACCTGCAAGGCGTACAATGCCTCTATTTGATTCTTCTTGTCCGACTCTTCCATTCCGAGCTTTAGCAATTCACCGTACGCGGGCATGGCAATCCAGTTAGCGCTCGACTTGGCAACGTCTTCTGCCACCGCCGTCACGGCTTCAAAGAGTACAGCACCGCACGGACGTCCATTCTTAGCAAAGATGTCCTTAGCAATAGCCGCCAGTTCCTCGCCCTTCTTGCCGCTAGCAAGAACTTGCTTCATTGTCTCTCGATCGATGTCAGCCTTCTTAGCCGCAACCTCCTCTGCCTGCTGTTTCTCCTTAGCAGCCACGCGCTTGGCCTCCTCAGCAGCCAATCGTTCCTCCTCAGCTCTTTTCTTGCGCTCCTCACGTTTCTGCTGTGCACGCACTTTCTTGTCCGGTATTTGCACTGATGGTGTTTGTTCCTGCGGGGCGCTTACGCGCATATTTGAAATCGACGACGAGACGTCATCATCTGCACTTCGAGCAAACCGTCCAGTTGCACGACTTCCACCATCAAACCGGTCTCCACCCCGATCTTCACGCCCAAACCGGTCGGCATCGCGATCGTCACGTCCAAAGCGGTCTCCACCTCGATCGTCGCGTCCAAAGCGACCGCTACTGCCTCCACCAAAGGCGCCTGACCATTTATCACCACCGCTATTATTACGTGCTTCACTCGAGCTTTCACCACGTCGTGCAAGGTTTAAACGCATGTGCGCCGGTCGCTCCTCAGCTTGAAAATCATCGCGCAACGGACGGTCATAGCGCGAAGGGCCGCTCAAGCGATCACCACCACCGCGCCAATTCCAACCACTTGCCTCATTACGTCCAAAACGATCACTACCTCCTCCACGTTCATTTTCTCCTCCACGTCCACCACGATCTCCCCGCCATTGGTCGGATTGATCGCTGCGCGACTGCTCGCGCTCTGCATATCGATCTCCACCGAAACGGTCGCCGCCACGGCCTCCACGATAATTTCCATCCTCATCATCGGCACGAGCACGTGGACCGGAGGGTAATGCTGCCTCAGGAATGTAAGCTGCTGCTTGGTCACCCAAGAACTCGCCTAAGCCAATCTTTTTACCACGTACCATAACTACTGCTGATTAATGAATGAATGTATCGGATATATATATAGAGTGGAAGACTGGCTAAGTAAGAAGGGAGAAAAAAGAGTGGTTTGTGGAGCGATTATGTATGCCACACCACGCTCAATACGAAGACCATCAGATTATTGTTACGTCTTGGAATGTTCAGCATATGCTACATATCATAAAGAAACGAAAATGTTAAGTCACTGAAACAAAAACTGCATAACTGTTAAGATGTAAGCTAGAAACCAACGTATCGATAAAGGTCTTGGCAAAAAGAGATTGCAACAGTTTGAAGTCGCAATACCCTGTGACTTCTAAGCATGTGAAGTGTGTTGTACTATCATCTGTGCTACAAAATGCGTTTACGACGGTCAAGATGATGTATAGTGATCATCTTGAAATGCGTGACCTACAACGTATGTTTCTACTATGCATTAGCTAACCGCATATATTACAAGCTGACATAAATTAAAAAAAACAAAAACAACCAAATCTTACACACTTGAGTGCAAAGAGAAGAGTGTTGTTAGTTTCTTTATATCCTAGCTAGCCTCAAGTCGGTGTCTTAGGATATATAAACAATGTACAGCCATAGATGCTTCAAGCATACTTCAAAAAAAGCAAAAATCGATACCCGTACCATTCTATTAATCCACCATCTGAGAGCTTGCAATTCAATACTTCTTCTCGTCGCCAGGTGTTCATAACAAAACACTTTGCCCTTGCTTCATTATTCTCGACATTTGACAAATTTGTTTAGCCCGATAACTTCTATATTCGGCAACCAATGCCTTCTTTAGCAGCTTCGCAGGTATAATCGCTGTCTTGCGATATATAGGGTTTTAAAATCGTCTAATATTGAATGCACAAACAAAGGTGATGCGCACATCAATATGCTTGGTCTTAGCCGATGCCTTTTTAGAATAACCTTTATCATCAAGCTGCTCAAGCGCTGCAAAGGCTCCGCTCTTAAAATAACCTTTAGTTCTTGCAAAAGGATGCAACACCAATAGCTTTGAAGCAATGGTTGACGCGACCGCAAATGTAGACGATATAAATCGAGCGCGACATTGCGGTTACAAGGTTACGGTATAGAACAAAAGTACACACACAAGCTTCAAAATACTATTACCGTAAAGCTTAGCTTACATACGGATGTTGAAGTACAATTGCAACTAGTGGCTGTACCGTGTAAGAATCGCTCTTTGTAAAGGCATAATCGAAAGTCAGTCATCTCGTAAAGCTCCCCAACTGAGAATCTGAATGGTCCTCTAACCTTAGTAAGCTTTTCACTCTTTGTGTCTTGTCTTCCTCTTAAAAAGGGCCATATCAGCCCAGCTCCTTGGTAGTACCCGTAGTCAATAAACACCTGAGCCGTAAGGCTATTCCTCTGGGTAATAGAGCTATCATCGGACCTTTCTGAAGCCAAGTAACAAGGCGTTCTTCGAGGTTCCAATAGTTGGGCCAAGCTTACGGCTGTATGTATGTGTTGCACAAGTCCCATCTGCGACAAACTTGCAACTTAAGAAAATTCTTAGTGTTACAAAGCTCTGTTGTAGCACTTGCAGGAGACACAGATTTTGACCCGCGCACCGATGCAATATGTGTTTTTAAAATCTCAGGTGTGTATGTAAAATTCACACCTTTGTGTAACGCCGTTACACCCTCCCCACCAATCCGTGGGAACCAAGTACTATCAATTCTCGAACTTATGTGGAGTTCTTTCGATTTCATTTTCGTCCCATTTTGCTTGCCTCGCAAAAAGAGCCTCGCACTCGCAATTAAAGCCTTAGTGTTACGACACGCGCTCATTGAGTATCTGTGCTTTGCACTCACGCTTTTTATGCACCCTAGTGCTTCGACACATGCTCCTTGAGCAAACAATGCATTGCACTTACGCTAAAGCATTTAGTGTTACGACACTTGCTGATAGGCGTTAAGTGCTTAGCACTTGGTACTAAACCGGTTATGGCTTACAAACACTTAATTAATATATTGAACTTAGAAGAGTTTACGAACACTTCCTTATACAGCATGAAGTGCCTGGCGCTTCCTATTAACGCATTCTAGTATTCTAAACACTTGCTTCAAAGCGTCTGAGCATACAAGCGGTTAATACTTGCCCACAAAATACCTGAGTGTGTAACACTGGCTAACAATGCACATTTATGTCTAATAACTAGAGTATAAGCACCATAGGGTATGACACTAGCTTATCAAGCACCTCAGTATTCAGCACTTGCTTACAAAGCACATTGTTGCTTAACAATTTCTTATAAGGCACCGTGTATGACACTAGCTTATCAAGCATTTACATGTGTAACACTTGATTTTAAAGCACCAAGTGTCTAACAATCGCTTATAAAGCATCAAAATGTTGAGCACATGCTTATAACGCACCTAAGTGTTGGACAATTGCTTCTACAAAGCCATTGAGTGATTACTATTTGCTTATGTAATCCGAAAGTGTTATATACTTCTGACAAAGCTTCATAGTGTTTCACACTTGCTTATATAAAGCCCCACTGTGTTACTTTTGCTTATAAAGCACAACATTGTTTACCACTTGCTCATATAAAGCCTCAAAGTGTCGTAAACTTGCTTATAAAGCTTCATTATGATTAACGCGTGCTTATATAGGAGTTAAGTGTTTCACGCTTATTTTAGTGCACCGAAATGCCCAGCACATGCTCATTGAGCCATAAAGCGCTATAACCACTTGTCCTTCGAGCGCCCCAAGTCTTTACGCCTTGCATATCATAAAGACAAAGCCATATACGCGTAATTTTTGCCTTTGAAGCAGATAATAGTACTTTTCACGCGAGTGAGGTACCGGCAACTGCTTCCCAAGAAGGTCAGAAGTGAAGCCTAACTACTGACCTTGCTTCCACAGCACTTATTGCTAGGAAGCATCCGGCGAGTGTTGTCGCCGCCTCTGATCTTCCCGATCAAAGCTTCAGCGACTTCCAGGCAGTCTTGCCGCAGGGGTACCTCGTACTACCACGAGTCATAAGACTGGGGGTATCCCCTCCACTTCACCAGGTACTAGGTGTGAACCTGGTGAAGACGTCGCGCCAAGAGACGCTCGACGTGAAAAACTGTTGATGACCCAGCTCATCACTAAGCGTCGACGAGGGTCGGTAATCCATCAATCCATGACCTCCTGTACGCCTTCAGCGTACATATGAACCTCCGGTGCCGTACTACCCGCACCTTTCGGCCGGGGATTCGAGGACAACCCTTCGAAGTCCACCAAGGCTGGGTTGAGATATGGCTTCAGCAAGCCCACATAGAACACAGGATGTGTTCTCATCTTCTTCGGAAGGTTCAGCGTATAGACTAAGCCTTTCTTGCTTATGAACTTGAAAGGTTCAATGAAGCGTGGACGCAGTTTGGTTTTATATACCGCAGACACCGCGCGTGTCGGTGAATTTCTAGCGTTTAATACAACCAAATCTACCACTTTGAACTCATGTTCGTTCTTTCTGCCTTTGGTACCTGCTTGTTTCTTCTGAACATCTTGGCTTTTAGCCATAGCGTCTTTGACGCGACGTAATACGTCAAAATGCGTTTAAGAAACGATTCTCCCTTCTTGCGCATCGCAACAGGGCTGATATAAGTCAAGCCTTCGGCTATCTCTCCCCCACGACGCCCTGATGCAGCAGGGGGTAGCGTTAAAGAAACGCGAGGGTTGACCAATCTATTCACATAAAATGAGGTGAAGCCTGTCGAGGCATGAATCGCGTTGTTCAACGCAAACTCTACCAGAAAGAGCATCGCGATCCATTGCTTGGATGTTTCAGCACAAACGTTGCGAAGCATATCGCCATAAACGCGGTTGAAGCGTTCTATCTGACCATCGATCTGCGGTGATCCGCCGTGGACATGTCCAGTCGAGTGCCGAGCACTTTAAAGATTGACATCCAAAACTTACCCGTAAAACGGGGTCTCTATCCGAGATGATTGCCACAGGCGATCCGTGTTGTCGAAACACACGATCCATGAATCGATTAGCTGTTCCTTTTCCATCAATGGAGTCGGCTAAATGAGCCATCTTGCTCAATCGGTCAACAAAGACCACAATTCCAGTGTTGCCTGCCGCATCACGCGGTAGGCCAAACACAAGGTTAATACTAACGAACTGCCACAGCCAACACCACAATGGTGTGGCAGGTGTGTATGTAAAATACACAGCTTTGTGTAACTCCGATACAGTTGATGAGACGGCGAATTTTGCATTGAACTTTGAGGACACTTGGAGTTCTCCCGACTTGTTTGGAATAGGTAAACTTAAGCTTTTGAGAGATCATTAAGTGAGCTCAACGACCAAAAGCGACCAAAGCAGTTATTGTAATGAGAAAAAGCGATTTATGCTGTCAGCATCACTTAAGCATTTGTTGATTCTTCAATAAGGAAGTTTGGTGGAGTGAGTTTTCAAAATTGCATGATGAGAACCTTAACAACTCACTGTGTGAGGAGGGACCCCCGACATTCACTATCACATTGTGTGAAAGAAGATTGAAAATGGACATGTGGTGCTTCAATATTGCCCAACAAAGGACATGAAAGTAGACATGGTGATCAAGCCAATCCTGGCTTCACAGTTTGACTCACTGCGCGGTAAGCTGGGAGCAACGCACCAACAGTTGCCGAGTTGAGTGGACGTGTTGACGAAGAAGCGCCTTGGCCAGCAAGAGGTGACTATAATATATGTTTGGACGACTGGCAATGTGCTAGGTAGCGAATAGTAATGCGTGGCCATACAGTTAGTAATTTGCAATGTAGCAGTTACTAGTGAAGAGTCGAAAGAATCCAATAGTCTTAGCGTAGATAAAGAAAGCGCATTAAGGACCTTGATATAACTGTACGTTGCATTTTGCAAATTTTAGATTAACTCTTTTCTTGCCAACATACATATTGTAGTTAGATATGTTATCAGTAGGGTGGAAAGTCATATATTGATCGACCTTTACTTGACTAAGTACAATTATTCCTTCTTACATTTACAACACAAGTGGTCCGGTTTTGTAAATTGCTTCATCAGTACACCCGCGTTTACGAGGCAACGCGGCACGTTGCCTGCCCTGTCGTCAGTGCAAGTCGCTAAATTGAAGCAGTAAAGGCGCCCCCGCTAAATTATAGGAGTCGACCAACTGTAGTCGATGCAATATGGATAAGGCTGATTATCGGTGCAATACATCATGGTGCTTGCAACTTTTTGTCGTTTGAAACTCTAGTTTCCATTCTTTGATGTGGTGGTCTCGATCTTGCTGCGTTTTTTGCTAAAGCTTGCGTCCTGCATGTGCAAAATTAATATATCGAGATACTAGCGGTTTGTTTCTTCAATAAGTAGAATTTGTTCTTTACGTTAGCTGAAGAAGTTATTAGATGGTGTTTGATGAAGTCAGTGCTGAAACGCTCAAGTTTTGAAACGAGCGCATGATCAACGTTCTTGCAATAGCTCTTCTATTGGAGTCATTTTTTTCTTTCAGAGTAAACAGAAGGAATGCACAGAACATGTAAGATTATTTATTTCCTCGCTGGTCCTCAAATTTATAAAAAGCTGGGAATATATAAGTATAGTGTGGTCGTGACAAGAACTAGAAACGTCAAGGCAAAGCCAGAACCCGTTACTAATTAGGCTTTCAACCGGGAATGTGTCATTGGGCCTGTCTGTCGTGGTGATGGTAAAGAGAAAAGTTCCAGCACATCGATCACCCGAACAACGCATGCGCAGCATTACGAAAAGCTAGCGCTTTTGCGAGCGATCGTTATGTTAAGCTAGTCAGTGTCTTGAACCGCCGTTCATGATTGAAACTACTGCGTGGTAGCAGCTTTATCTTCTTGCCGGTGCAAACGAGGGGAGCTTAGAGCGCAAGATGGGATGATATAAGGTGGTCTAGCCAGTATTATTATCGCATATGTGGTTCAATGGGGACGAAAGGAACAAAATCAAGGTATACATCTTTGTTTAGCTGGGCTTACTGATGTCGTATTTGCTTTTAAAATAGGATATTGCGTAAGAAGTTGCAATTCACCCCCATTGTTGCTCTTAACTTTTTGAACACATTTGGTTGTGACTCACTGCTTAGCAATAGTTATGCGTGCCGGCGACGCAAGACTTCATTTGAGGCTTGAATTACTCGCAAAACGGCACTTTTCTCAAGCTGAGAAGACCATTGTTGTCAAATTGCCTGTCTTCTCTGCAGGAAGTTGGTCAGCTTTTCTTTGCATTTGATCCAAATTCAAAGCTTTTCGCACTTACGTGGGGTGGGGTAAAGGGTAATAGCGATGAAAGAGAAGCGAAGCAAGTCCATGTATGCAAATAATTGAGATAAAGTTCGGATACTTGTATCTTTCTAAGCTCACGTCCAATAACTTGCTTTTTCCTGGACAAAAGAATCAAGCTCGTGAAGCCTTTCGGAGATCGACTGTCTGTATGTGTCTACATTGCCAACGGCGATAGTTAGAGTTGGCCTACTGACACTTTGAGTAGGAAACGCCAGTTCACTGCGCTAAGATGCGAGGCAGTGCAAGTGTGACGGTCATTAAGGATTTGTTTCCTACCCCTGTGACATGTCAAAATATTAAGGAGGAATGCTTACTGTACTCGCCGCAAGCGATGAAACTTTTGTTAATCATCCCCGCAAAATTTATAACAACACAAACGATAGCCGCTGCCCTCAATATCTAATATCAACTGCACCACCTTCATAGTCACGCTGCGATCAATACGTGCTCATAGCTAGATCGAGAACTAATAGTGCAGCGGAGTTGATGAACCAGTTGCAGTACTTGCAGGACAGTTTTATGGCTTCATCCATATGTGCGAGAGTTTCTATTGCAAAACCAGGACTGCATCAAGCATTCGATCAGTCCAAGGCATCCACCTTTGTAACATGTGCGATAAACAGTGATAGCAGCGCCAGTGTGCATGTTTAAGCAGGCCGCAGACTCCGGGTGCGTCGCTGTGGCAAACACATGGATTTGCCGGGGTTTTTGGGACACTCGACTCGATCGCAAAACATGTTCAAGAAGTGAATCAAAAGCAGTCGCATTGGTTATACCACGAAAGCGACGAAAGTAATCGAATGTTTGATTGATAATATGAAGTAGTACTTCTTGGCATCGCTAGAGACTTGCCTTGCAGCCAAAGTGTACCGCGACAAACGTGGCTTCTGACCCTAACCGCGATGTTGCCGACCTTTTGCTGCGTTCTCTTAGCGCTTTGAAACCTCCATCATGCTTAGTGTCAATACATGCAATAAGTGTCACTACATCTATCATTTTTGAATCTTTTGTCGTATTTTTCTTTGCGAAGAGAATTGAAGTATGTTTTGTTTGCAAGGTGGCAACGTCATAAAAATCTAAGAATATGTGCAGGTTGCACCAGAGTGACAACATCATACAAATTTCGATACAAAGAGTGACGTGACACACGGACGAACAACTATAACTGCTCTGTAGAGTTTTTGTGTGTCGCCACACAGACTGTATTTCGTGGGTTGTTCCGCTTTTCTGCTCTAGCCTTCAGTTCCAGTTCTCCCTAGCAGCCTCAAACAGAGCCAAAAAAAGGATAGCCTGACCAGACACTTACAGAGGGGCGCCACGCAGGACACGACGTCAATGGATCTCTCTATGATACTCAGCCCTGCCTTTGAGGAAGAGGAACACGCGGCAATGAGTCCTACTCTGCGCATGATCAACCACAAATGGCGGTCTGATGAGCTCCAATGCGCCGTGGCAATCCTGCAGGACTTTCGACAGCTGCGTGGTGAGTCCTACAAGAACGCTCAGCACGACATTCGTGGCAACGGTGGCGTACAGTACGTCACTACGCACAAACATGAGGAAGGGGACAACATCCATGCGCAGTCCATCGCTTGTCCAGACAACACAGTTCAAGTGGTAGCTGCTCGTGAAGATGGAATGGAAATTGAAAACGCACGTGGTCAGCGGCAACAGTTCCATACGGACAGCGTGTCCAAACTAGATCTATTAGTCCAAGCAGATGCCATTATCAAGCATCACCTTCCAAAGACTTTGTCGTCTCACAAAGACGATGCGTCCCAACACCTGCGTAGTGGTGTGTGGTCTTGCGCTGAAGAAAAGTACGCCGCAGCACTTGTTGCGTACTTCTTGGAAGGGCTCTTAGACTTACCGGAAGGTTCAACTCTCCGCAAGTTTGTCGCAGAAAAGCTCCGGTGCAACAGACGTCGTGTCTCGATGAAGCTTAGCACGGGATCGTTGGCAGGCCAGAAAATTCAGAGGAAAATTGGTGCCTCGATATTTGTTGCTGCTAATCCTCCTCCAAGCGATCAGCAACGCCAAGAAATAAATCAAGAGCTAGAAAGGCTTTGGCGCGCCAGTCTCAACTCCGAACTATGGAACAACGTTTACAATGAAGACGGCGGCGAGGGTCACGCTCCCTCACAGCCAAGACTGTTAGCAGTGCAAGAAGAAAGTAAAGGTGACGGTAATTGTCGTTGTCTCAACAAGTTTACACAACGTAATCACAAGAAGAAATTAGAGTTCGTGCCCAAACGTGGCATTCCAAGGATCATCCGTACGGGTTTTGAGTCCCCTGAAGAAGAAGAGTTTGTCACCACCATGTTCGAGTTCTTTATGGATGGCTCGCTGGATCTACCCGAGGGAACGACGCTTGTGCGTTACTTATGCCAGCAGCTAGGGTGTACACCGATGCAGCTATCAATGAAACTAGCGCCGCGGCGCGTAGGTGAGCACAAGTTTCCGAATAACGTTGGCCATATCCGATATGTACGCAAGGCAACAGGAGATGCCTTACCGGGTAGCTCGAATGACAATCATTTCTCTGAAGAGGTATTCGAAATGGAAAGTCGCATTACTGAGCTACGACTAGCCCGTGAGGAAGCGCACAAAAGTGCTCATTGTCCGATCGCATCGCACATAAAGCGTGAGCGCAAAAGTAGCACGGCTGGTGGTTCTAGTAAAGGGACCGCAAATGTGGCCAGTACGACTAGCGACAGTTTTGTGTGCTTCTTCCAGCGCAGTGGACCGTGGTCCCATGATGAAGAGGTGTACGCGGCGGCGCTTATTGACTGCTTCTTAAAGGGGGTGTTGGAGATCGCAGAAGGTACTACACTTCGTGCATTTTTGTCATCGCGACTATGCTGCAATCCCATGCGCATTTCCAAGAAGCTTGCAAGTGAGTGCATTGCTGAAATACGCATTCCGAAGAAGTTAAGGAGTTCAACTTATGTGCGTAATGTTGAAGTGACCCCTGAGGAGCAAAGTGAGGCGGAAGGAGTTTTGAATGATCTACAGCGTGTGTATATGTGCTCAAGTACAGCCAAGCAGAACAACATCTTGGGTTTAAAGCGTTCGCGTCGATCTCAAGACCCCCGCCCTCGGCCGTTTGCTACCACGATTGCCACGGACTCGGACGCTACTGGGTCGGATCCTGACGCTTGCAAAAGGAGCCCCATAAAGCGTCAAAAACGAGCAAAGTTTCACACTTTAGCGCAAGAAAAGCGAAAGCAACGATGCCAAATGCCCCACACAAGTCTCGCTCGCACTTGTTGTACCGGCAACACTAAAGCCATAATTGGCTTAGGGGTCTAAGTGAGACCTGCAAGCAGATTGAGCCGAATACGTCCTTACTGTAATTACCAAATTTGAATATTCCTTACAAATGTAGTAGTTTCGATATGTTACACCATCTCTGCAGTGCAAAACGAGTGGTATAATAGCTTTAAAAAGTATGACCCAGCCTGCTTGTCAAGATGTAATTCAAACGTTCTCGAGTAAAAGTGTCATGCATTGCATTCAGAAAATTTAGCAGCACTTGCCCTTCAGCAAACACGTTATTATCAAACAAGAACCTACACCCAATTCCTTAGTGCTTGCCATCGTAAAACAGAAAGTAGACGCTGAACAGGAACACACCTGCCATCATCGAGAAGGCAGAGGCATAGTACGGGTAAGCGGCAGGAATGAAGCGCTCAAATTCGTCGTGTTTGAATGGACGCAGCGAAACCTGCGTCGTCGTGTAGACTGTTGACAGGCCTAGACGGCGGTACATCACACGGAAGAGGAAGATACCATACACGTCAGGCGCCTGAAAAGTCACAGAAAAATGCCCGTCATTGTCGTGGATCAACGTCGTACGCACGTGAGGGTCCAGCATGACGAACTCCAGTTGCACGTCGTCAGCCTTGTATGGACCCCACTTCCCATCCTTAAGCTCATGCAGATCTAGAGAATATGTGAGATTGTCTTTCACACGGTACACGAGTGAGTCACGTGCCACCTCAGCATCAGGGTACAGCGTTATCGGCTGGTCGCCACGGTTCACGTCGCTCAGCATCTTTGCTGGTTGCGAGCCGTCCTCACGGTGATGCTTCACGTTGGTCATGCGGAGCATACCACTCTCCTGAAAGCCCCACTTGCTCACAGCGTCGGCAAGCTCAGCGTTGGCAAACATCTCATTATCGAAGTATTTGTCGCTGAAGAGGTCAAGCGAACCAGCAAAGATAATGCGGGCGTTGTTGCGCCCCTGCACAGCAGTCACGAGACCAATCTGGTTGCCGAATAGCAGGTCATTAGAGACCACCTTGTTCGTAATGGGTTTGACCGGATTGGCCGAGTACGCACTGGCAGGCGCCATGAGCACGTGGAAGGTCAGAACGTTGTTGGGCTCGAGTGACATGCCCATGCCAGAAAAGGCGACGGGCTTGGATTTTACGGCCAGTGATCCCACAACACGCTCCGAGGCTACAAAGTCCGTGGCGGCAATCACCGAATTGTACATGTCATTGTCGTCCGCAATGGGGTTGACGTGGTCCAGCACCATGCTGCCCTTCTTTTCAAACTCAACACCGCATTCTAGCGCAAACTGACGCTGCATCAACGTGATCTTCTTGCTAGCAGACAGCAGCACATTGCCACCTTCCTCCACAAAGTGCAACAAGTCCGACTTGCGGAGAGAGCTCAACGCTTTGTGAGGCGAGAATAGCACTAAATTATCGTACGCGCGCTCTCCATAAACCTCCAACTTTAGCAATTGCTTTTCATTCTTCTCACCCGTAAAAAAATGCAGCTCATGACCACGAGCTACAGGAATATGCAGACACACAAAGAGCTCAGTAAGTACAAAGTGTCTGTCCTAAAGTGTTCCATTATCTCACATCTCGCACCTTCGAGCAGCTTGAAGAACTTGGAATGCGTCTTCTGTAGTTCTGGTGATTCCAACACCACAGCAGTGCGCGTAGCATGAGTAACGGCCAGTGCCATCATCACACATAATGCTAACGGAAGGGACGGAAGCGCCATTACGAGAGTTTCAACGGTCGAGGATCGATCGATCTCGAAAGTGCCGCGTGTTCTACGTGGATTACTGTAATTTATGTGTGCCACTACTTTTGAGATTCTGGAAAATGATATATTGCCATAGAAGGGGAAAGACGATTAGGAGAAAGTTAGCAAAGGAGTTTTGGCAACTGAATCGATGCTACGGGTCGTGGCAGAAGTGTCCACGTAACTTAATAGCAGCTAGCAAGAGAGAACCGAGGCAATTGAGGCAGCGAAACGTGTTGCAGCTGCAACAACAGCACAAACTGCCTCCGTTCGAAGCTTTTATTTGATTCTAACCATGTGGTAGATCCCAATAACTGCAGTCTTCACGATGTCACGAGCCTAGGCGTCTAGTAGCTACATCACCAGCTATAGCAAAATTGATCTTTATACGTGTTGGTCACGCACATATTGACAAACTTACTGAGCATGTTGCAACGGCAAAGTCGTGGAAGAACACGCAGACGCTTTTATATGCAAGGGGAATTGCACTAAAAGTAGCAACTATGTGATGATTCCGACTCGCGCTGAATTGATCGAAGGTCAGACGAATGTTGAGGTAATGAAATGAGTGTTGAGCGCCAAACCTTTACCGCAAAAAAGGCGCTAGACACATGAATTTGGACTGTATGACAAGTAGCGACGAACATTGAAGAAATGTGAGCAATCGAGAGTAGAGGAAGCTGATCTCATCATAAGCAGTAGCGTAAGTCTAATGGAATGCAGAAGCAGATGATCCAGCTTAAAAGATTCAACTGCAGCTCTGCAGCAGACGCTTACTTAGACACTTGCAAATAGCATGAGGTTTTAAATTAGAAGGCAGCACAAACTAGAATCTGATACGTTTCAAAAATAGTCCATGTAAACGTCACGTATAATAGAGGATTAGTATCTGTCTTCGTATTAAAAGCTGCCAATCACGTACGGATGAGTATTTATTGGTAAGTAATCTATACTCGTCATCTACGTTCGTGTCAAAATTGTCAAAACAAAATAAATTTTATCATCAAAACTTAAAATTTTCTACTTTTTCTTATTTTTCCACTCTGAAGTCTTAGCATGACTGAAGATGGTGTTGCTGTAGTTAAGAAGAAGTTGTCATGGCTTAAGCGTCTACAAGGGGATTTAGATGCGGATGATAATGTATCTGATTCATCCACGTATGTCACTGATATAAAGTCGGAGAAGATTGTAAGAAAGCGAAGAAAATTAGAGAAAAAGGAGGAAAGTCAACGACGTGTGAAGAAAGAATTGCATTTAGAGGAAGAAAAGGACGAGAAGAGTAAGGTTGTGTACAACTATAATGATACAATGGATACACAGCGTCGAACTGTCAAGAGAATGGACACGACAGGCACGTTGGCACGGCGTAAACGGCCCATGAAGACAGCGAAAGAAGAGCTGAGCAAAGAGATAAAGACCTTAAAACCGATACACGCTGCTGAAGCTCAATCAGGAGCTTGCTTGGAAGAACAGTGGAGTGAACACGTGGACACGCGTCGGAGAAGTGGACGAGATCATGACAGAGCTGCCTGTAAATTGATACAAGCGAAGTCGTCAGAGACGATTCGAAGGCAAGAGAAAAGTCGGACGCGTGGAACTCGATCTGTAAAAAATCAAGAAAAGATGTTTGCTGCCAAAGAGATGAATGTTGAGGTGATTAGTAAACGGCGGAGACAAGTGTCACTTTGTCAGACGGTCAGGAGAAATTCTACAGATGATGTGTTAGCAAAACGCAAAGTGCGCCGAACTGCAGTTTTATTGAAGACGGAGAGCAAAAGTAAACATGCAGATCCTTGTCTTGTCCCGATCAACCGTTTTGCTGGCTCGTTGAAGCAAAGTGAAGATGATAAAGAGAAAGTGGAGTCTTGTTCGATGGCTGAAGCCACGCTTGCTGGGTCTACCATGCGTGATAGGAAAATAGAGAAGTCGATGGAGATTCTTGAGCCAGTTAAGCAGGAAGACGACGGCGCAGTTTCATCTACAGCTATTGAGAATGAAATTAATGAGCTTGATAAGCTTAAACGTACTGATCAACTCGAATGTGCACCTCCTAATCTAGAGAAGGCTGAAAGTGATGTGATAGCACCAGTCAAAATCACAGAAGATGCTAAGGAGTTAATCAGCTTGAAGAAAGCTGAGAAAACGGGTGAAGTGAAGGAAAGTTTATGGGCTGGCATGCCCCACAGTTGCACACCAGGTGATTTTGTAAAATGTGAATTCCAGAAGACACTTGTGGAGGTGAAAACCGCACCGAAGCAAATAAAAGAGCAGGGAAATGACGAACGGCCAGTAGAGTTATCTGGGATCACACAAAACGCCGATAAGTCAGTAAAAAATGCAGATGAGGTCATAAAGAACAGTAGCGATATGAATAGGGACAATTTAGTCAACGAGGTGATGCCAATTCCTCGGAGGAAAACGAAGGTGGATGAATTGGCTCAGCTTTCAACTGCTGAATCGTTTATTATTCCAAAGCGATCGTTTGGGAATAGTGAGAAAGGTGTGCAGACGCCGGATGCTCAAGCCATTCGGGCAAGGACTGGCGAAAGTCAATCAAGTATTGATAAGAATTCGTCGGGCCCGTCTGTATCCGTGACCATGCCACCTTTGCCCTCTCCTGGGTCGGATGTAAAAATGTTAAAGGTGGTTGACTCCATTCACTCACCAACGACACGACTAAAAAAGCCGGTGCCAGTCAAAACCACATCGATCTCGATGCATGATCGAGCACTCATGCGTTTATCTCGGAAGCGTAACTCCATATTTATGGCAGCGATGGAATTGTCGGCACAAGCTCCTGACTGTCACATTACCAAGGGGCGGATGATGGGATACGATGTCTACGACGTTGACGGGAAGGTGGTACCTGATCTGATTACTCGTTTAAGTTGTGCTACTGAACGTGAAATGGCGTTGAACCGGGAACCATACGCTGCCTCGTTTTTTGGCGTGTCGCTCTCGGCACCGGAAGCAGCAGGAAAATCAAGTTTTGCAGTTGATGAATATAGTAAAGGTACTCGGAAAATAAGCTGTTACGAGGAACTACGGTTTAAGCGGTCTGAGGACAGAGAATTTTACCAACGAAGAATATACGGCACGGTGTTCGTACCACAAAATCTACGAGGCTGGATTACTTTGGTGGTCCGGAATGCGCGTTTTGAGCGTAAGTCCACTGGTATTCGCTTTAATCAGGACCGTGATCGTGAGGAGTTTGCAGCATCGTTGAGCAAGCGGTACACACTTAACAACTCCGTACCACGATGCGATATTTCCCGTGACAACTGGCTCAAATTAATGACAAATCAGCCGGGCTCCGTTTACTTGCACTATTATAACCGCGAAGATGCCGAGCAAGCGTCACATATTTTTCGCGATGATTTTGGGTATTCGTTAGAGCTCAAATTGAACCTTAAAGCCGGGGCGGTGATACGAACGAGCTCTTCTACACCTCGTCGTTCTCACTCTACCGAGCGGAATGTACCAGAGTCTTCTCCCTCATCATCAAAGAATGACAGCGCGCGTAACACTTCGTCGTGGCGACGAGAACGCCTGCCTGTTTCGAGGGGTGATAGTAGATACTTTAGGTATGACCGTGGTGCACCGCAACCTATAGTGCCATGGTTTCGAGGGGGCCGTCGACATGAAACTTATGACGGTGGGGGCAACCATTCGTGTGCAATGATAGAGGGTAGGTCACGGTCGCGCTCAAGGTCGAATCCGTTTCATGGTTGGCAAAATGAATCTGGCGCTCATGAGGGTAAAGTTGATCAAGGAGGAGGTATGAGAAATAGTGCATCACCTTTAATGTTAGATGCTCGCGAAAAAACTGACAGTGGAAACGAAAAAGGCAGTAGTGGTATCCATAGCAATGCAGATACGCCAGTCCAAAAGCGAGCTCGTTCGTCGCCTTGTTCCTTTAGGCGGTCTCCAAACTTTGATCTGGATAGGAGTAAGCGCGAATTAATACTTGACGATGACCGAAGAGGGCAGGAAGACGGAGAAATTATGAGCAGATTGGAGGTAAACCCCGTAAGGGTAACGAATGGGCGTGGTGGAAGAGGTGGAAGAGGTGAGCTTAACCGCGCTAGATCTCCTTCACGGCGATGGCTGCAGGAGCCAAGCAATATTGAAATAAGTCAAAGGCGAGACACTTTCTCGAAATATTTGTGCAATCGCTCACGGAGTCCTGCCGCGCGGCACCATTTTAACCAGCAGCGATCTGACCGTTACTTGGATAAACGAAGATCACGCTCGCGCTCGCGTTCGCGTTCGCGGCCTGGGACTTTGCCTATGCAGAGTGGGCGTGGCTTTAATTACAGCAATCAGTATATGGGGCACCGAGAATTTAAGCATCCTGGTGCCTATGACGATCGACGCATGTACTTTGACCGAGGACGTGGGAACTATAGTGGCCGTGGAAGAGGTCCCAATTCACGATCACGCCAGTAAGATGGCGCATAACGCCAAACCTGTTGTGCTTGTACTAGTCCAAGCAGTGAGTAATACCCTATGCTTGATTTATCTCATTACGCAACTCCTGACGTTTGCAGAAAGAGAAAGATCGTCAGAAGTCAATCATATTCATGATTTGCAAGTTTTTAGCAATGTCAAAGCTGGCAACAGGAATCCGTCCTCAATGATTTTGCGCGCATTTTAAATGCAGTAGCTTTGCCATTTCGTCTGGGTGTCTTGTTCTCGTGTTACCTGTCGTGAGCTTGTTTCACCCAGCACTGTGCTATTCGCCCACCACCTGCATCCGTGGAGTAAACGTTGCAAGGTGCCTGACCTTCATGCTTCCAAATATACTGCTGGATTGGTGTCGCAAAGGATGCTCTAATGCGGTATTCATGCCCACCTTATCGATCCATGAAGTATATAAAGCGTTTGTTTTGCTTGAGGCTGCATGAAGGCGAAGCGCTTCTGTATCGTCCCGAGAGCAAATAATTATTCTACGAAATTGTGGTTCCGACAGTAACGCTTGCTTCACAACGATGGCCATACACAGGCAACTAAAGTATCTACATGATGAACCATGTTTGCTGTATTTCTTAACAGTCTTCACTCATTTCAAATCAATCATCTTCTACTGGTACAACTTTGGGTTGCAATTTATTAAGTTCTGCTTGGTACCGCTTGTGAATGCGCTGAATTTCGTCCTCACACTCTCGCACTTTTCCGCGCAGTTCCTGCACGCGCGCGTGGAGTCTTTCGCATTCTTCAGCGTGTTGCCGTTCGCGTTTCTTACGTGCCGAAGGCAGATCCTCGCGTTGTTGATGTTGATTGCTTTGATACTGCGCGCGAATCTGCTGCAACTGCTCGCGCATTTCTTCAACAACCTCTGCACGAATGCGTACCTCCATCTGCATCTCTCCAGCTAAGACCTCTGCCAATTGTCCTCGAAGTTGCTCATTCTCTAATTCCAATGTGGCCTTATTTCAACGAAACAAGAGCAAGAAAACTGAGCAACAATATCATCGCCGCCAGCAAACAACTAAAACCACCAACTCACCCAATGCAAATCTCTTTTAGCGATATCCATCCGCGATTCCATAGGAGATGTACCCATCTCAACCATTTTCGGTTTAGCCACAGTCAGTGCGGCCAACTTGCGTTGACGACATGCAGAGTCGCTTTTTCGGTGCTTGGCTTTGACTCTGGACGGGGGAAATGCCGCAGCTGTTTGTGTTTCCAAGGTACCTAAAGCCGTTTGCGGTATCAAAGCTTGAGATGCAGATACTTCACTCGATTGCCGTCTCCGCTTTTTTAACCGCCCATCTAAGTCGTAGAACGTAGCCGTTAGAGTAGCCTTCCTAGGAATTGACGTACGCGTTTTGACTAATTCGCGCGCAATGGCACTGTATTTAAGCGTGCGCAAGGTCTCGTCAAACTCGTGACTGGATGGATTTACTGCTACAATCATTACCAATGGCCCGTGATCGTTTCCCACAAGATGTTCTTGGAAAAGACGCGCGAGCTTGGATTCGCGAAATGGGACCATTTTTTGCAAACTTGGCGGATGTTGCTGGTTCCAGCGCAAAGTCTCAAGACATCGCATGAGATTCATTAGAGAACTGTTGATCTTACTAGCCTCCTGCATCCGTAGTCCAGTTGCGCCCGTCTTAGCACCACGCTCGGAACCTGCCAGATCTACGATAGATACCTTGCTACGAAGGTGTGACGAAAACCGTGACACTTGCTGGTAAAATTGCAGCGTAAAGACGCAGTGGCTGCGACTCGAGTCCAAGTTGCAATTAGTTTCGGCCATCTGTTTGTGTCGCCGACCCATTTCCAGCAGACCAAGTCCCTCTTCCAGCGTCTTGATGGTCTTTTCTACTGCTCCTCGCACCTGAATTTTTCCGTCGCACTCCTGGACACGGAGTGCTCTCCTTTTCCGAAGAGCGGGCGACAACAAATCGTACACATTTTCGTTGTAAATCTCAAGGTACGTTGCTGTTACTCTCGTCACGGGCTCTACGCCATTTTTTTTGCGTCTTGGAAGTTCATCCATCACGTACTGCAAAGATTGTGGTAATACACCGGGTGCGTCGCTCGTGCCACTGATCGTATACGTCTTGCCGGAATTCGTAACTCCGTAAGCGAATACAAGTCCGCTTTTCCCATCAAACGCTGCATCAAGAACAGGTTTCGTCGTGGCCTCAAACAACTCCGTCTGGTGCGTTTTCTGTGTAAAAATACGTGAAAAGTGGAAGCTCGTGGCGGTGCCAGTGGATCGATAGGACTGCGACGTCTTGGGCGGCTGCGCCAGTAACGTCACGTCTGATAGTACACGGAAACACTCACTTCCACTACCATTAGCAGCTTCCTCTGGTGGTCGTAGACGAATGGCGATCTGCACGTGGTTTCTAACGTCCCGTTCGGTCTGTTGTGACTGCTCCTTCTTCTCTTCCTCTCCTTGCAATACATCGTTCTCATCAAGGACACAGCCAGTAAAATTGAGCTTACGTACAATCGACTTGTTTTCATCTGCACATACAGACAGCGAGTCATTAAGATATGCAAGATTCTTCCGTTCACGTATAGCTCGCGCAATGTCCTCTCGCGACTGCTGCATTATGAGTCTAAATATTAAATTGATGTTTTTCTTTTGTTAATAGTAGTACCCAAAATAGCGTTATTTTGGGAGACAAATGTACTTCCTCGTTATAATGACAGCACAAAATGATCAAAATGATCAAAATGCTCATCATTTTAACCCCTTTACGAAAAAGATGACAATGTCACGTGTATGGATCCTACTCCTGGTGCTGATCACGACAGCGCTGCAACCGAAATACGCTTGCGCTCAATCTGGTGAGATTGGGAACGATGAGTGAGTTGATCAAGTATCTATCAATGCTCCTCTTCTCATTCAATCGGTAGCTTTTGGAACTGACCTCTTTACTTGTACGTCCCACCGCAGACGCCAGGAGGAATATGACGATGATTTCATGGACGAGCACGCCATTCCAGCGCTTGAAGAAGTGCAGCATCGTATTAGCTTTGATCTAGAGCATCGAATTGACATGAATGCGCCCTTTACGCCGCGTGGAGTCGTGGAGATCGTGACTAGCGCGTCGACGACCTCCAAGCCTAAAATTACGTTTTCAGCACTGCCATCGCTGAGTAACAACGAAGTAAAGAAAATGAAGAAGCTATTACGCGATGGACATCACTACACAGTTCGAGCGAAGGCCGATCCCACTGACCCGAACTCGCCTTATATCATGACGTCCGTACCCATGTGTATGCTGGTAGCCATGCGTCTACGCGAAGACTTTGCTTTCCATCTGTCCGATAGCGGTAAACTTGTGGCTATTGAGTATCTCACGCCGTACTTGGACGTTTTGAAGTGTGCGGAGTACCAGGAAAGCAGTTTTGTCGACGTACGCTTCGGTCCGTTTGGCACAGTGTTGAAGGCACAAACCGGTCCATCGTAAGTGGTGGTTTACTTCGTGGCTGTTTATATTGGACTGACGCTGGCTCGTGATGCTCAATATATGCAGACCGCCTAAGAACATTGTGGTCAAGCGTAACCGCGCTCCCCAGGGTGTTGAGCCGGTGAAGAGCGAGGACGGCAACGATGATGCTGAAGAAGAGACCCAATCCTTTTTTCGCAAATACGTACGTGCTGCCGAGTCTGTCCTGTTGTATGCGTGCTCACATTATTGTTGCGTGTTGCAGTGGTACATCATTCTACCAATCGTTGTGATGAGCCTATTTGGTGGGGGAAGTGCCGCGCCTGCAGGCGGGCCTGATGGTGCTCAGGCTACTCCTGCCTCTGGCAGTATGCGACGGTAGAGTGCCGGATGAGGATGGACATACGATGCATTACTATGATTGCTACTTAATCTCCTGTTCACCGAGAACAAACCTCTAAACTCAAGCTAAATAGCTCAAGGACCCGTGAGCATCGCTTCATTCGTGACTCTATACGATCAAAATGCTTTGCTCCTCTTCATTACCCATCTCCTTCTTCAATGTGGCCCGTAACGGTGGTGGCCACTCATTCTGCCTAACCATTCGTCCCCACAGCGTGTAATCTCCTGTCGACACCACTACAGCCACAGCCGAGCCTTGCAACACTCTTGCCGTCATTGGGATTATGTTGCTACAACATAGTGGATCCTGCTGAAAATGTGACGGCGGACTAGTACTTGTAATATGTTTCCTGATCCTTGCTCGTCCTGATTCCTCTTCTTTGTAGCCGTCTCTTACCAGCGTCGTCTGGTCTACCACACAGTCAGCCGAGCATTCGACGACGCGAAGATCTGCGCCTGCCACGTCACCAGCCCTAAGCTCCACTATATCTCCGTACACGAGGCTCATTACGTCCATGTGCATGCGTCGAGTGGTAGGTTCGCTCTGGACTGCATCGACTCGACGACGCACCGTCGTCTCCCGAGGTAACGCCCGCTGATATGCCTGCATGGATGCCGTGCGCATAAGGCATGGCAGCACACAACAGATCCATGACGGGCAGTTCACAGGTGGTGTCACGCGGTTGATGCCGTACAGCTCACGGCGCTTCATGACGTCATCCCGAGAGAGGCCAAGGGCGGGATCCACACCCACTTCTGCCATAAAATCCGCTACATTTTCAGGTCGTTGATAGTCCTAAGTAAAGTACAGAACATGGTACAGGATACATTAAAGTAATAGGTTAAGGAGGTCACGTTGGACAACGAGAAGGACGAGAGAAGAAGAAGAACGACTAATGACAAACCGGAAGTTTCTTCATGATCGACGTTACAATATTTGGGTATACTTGAAAAAAACGACTTAAAAAAGACACATTCGCGTAGAATTACTGTACCCAAATTGACGCTGCATTGATAAATTTATACAGGATCAATTTAGCTAAAATGATGACCTGCTAAATAAAACCCGACATAAAATAATGTTGTTGATGCTCAATTCACATCATTCGTATAATAGCTAAATTGTTATGATAGACAAAGTTCCATTTACGTGCGTAAGATGCAAGCTGCATATTTAAGGGACGGGACTTATCAAAAGGCTGTAACTCTGTGGACTTAATTAAGTGAATGGACCACAAGGTTGTGGATGTGAAATTGAAGGAATCAGTGTACTGGGCGTTTGTGGTTGACTAGGTGTTGCTCGTACAGAAAATTGCTTCTTAGACGTTAATGTGTGACCTGATGCAGCACGTTGAACTCGCTCTGTAGAGGATTGATTTTTGGATACCATTGATAGCTTGATACACGTGACAGAGAAACACGCAAGATAGAGCTATGCTGATGTATCATTGCAAGCAAGTATCGAGCGTTTTGGCTGTAGTCGACGTTTGCACACGCTGTAAAGATAGTCGCCATGTTGACACATGCTTCATTATGCATTTGGAATCGAGACAAAGTCACCAGTTTTCGTGAGACACGAGCGGGAGTTGTGTGCGATATTCTTGTTCATCTTACTCACACACGAGGTCAAAAAATGTCGAGTAGTCATCGCTCATGAGCTGTCATTGTTTCAATGACTTTGTTGTTTGTTTCGAAAGCAGTTTGATGTCATATGACTGGCAGTTTAGCAAAGGCTGCAAAGAAGTTCATTGGAACTGGAACTGAAACATGAATGAATCGTCGACTAACACTGATCAGCCATTCCGGCCAACCAATCTCCTCATACTCATTCTGCTTTCTTCCTTGAGGGCAGCAAACAAACAAACGAAAAAAGTTTTGGAAGTAGTGAGCAAGAGTGATGAGGCGTCTTCTTTAGTAGCACTCTTGGCTGTGGCGGTCGGAGCTGTCGCTCTCATGCCTGTCACTGACGGACTGGAAGTTGGTGCTGTGGTAACAGAGGAAAAAGGTACCAAACAGGTTTGTGCTAGCGTTAGCCTCTATCGCACTGACATATTAGACGCATTGGTTGATCGAAGCGCATTTGCATCACGTCTCGGAGGAAGGACAGCTCAGCGAACTCCTGGCTATGGCGAAAGTTCCGCTATCTGAGAGTGATGAAAAGTGGCGTGGTGGTGGTGGCGGTTGCTATCGGGGCTCCTGTTTTTGGCCTCGGTGCCAATTCGTCCCGTCATCACGGGGATGAACTGTCGGCAGAGGTTGGCAAGCAGCTCTTTGCAAATGACGTAGAAAACCATTCTTGGCGGCACAGACGTGATGGCAGCGGTGGTTGCTACCGGGGCTCACGCTTCTGGCCACCAGCGGCGACAGCTAAGCCAAAGCGTGAGCCCGGAATACAACGGCGGTCATTTCTCTCCCACTCATTGTCTTCCATAAGCTCTTGACCAACCTCGGCCGATAGATCTTCTTTGAGATGAGACGATTTGCAGCGGAATGTCACCGTGACTGCTATCGTGGATCTTGTTTTTGGCCTTGCTGCATGACTTTGTTGTAACCCTGTCCGCCATGGACGCCGCAAAAGTATGATCGCTACTAAGTTTGGACGAAAGAGGAGAAGAGTAGGAGGGATACATGCATTTATTCATCGCAGTCTTTTGGGATTCGGCCGATGTTGTGGTTGATGACTTGTAGCTTAATATAAAGAATCAGATTGTCCTTACGAACATGTTTTGTCAATGGTAGCTGCTGGTGATATAACGTTTCTTCTTCCTTGACAGCATCACTTCACAAAAATGAAAACGCGTGCATGGCTAGCAACATGCGATCACAAAGTGCCAATGGCATTCATTATTATGATATATATAAAGTCCCAGTCGATGTTTCATCACGCCACTACCTTTCCGATACATTTGCCAAGCAATAGCTGCATCACGTATACGTCAGTTTCTTAACTTTAAGCGGCAAACCGTACAAGACACACAAACAATGACCTACCTTGTCACCTGGCTTGATAGTGAATTGGAACGACGTGGGAGCCTCAAACACCAACACAACCGTAGAGCCAAGCTGTAGATCCACGTACAACACCAGTTAGTATTGTATAATAGTATGTCACCTTAAACGGTAGATTTTAAGATTTCAACCTTAAACTGTGCCATTTCCTCGCCGCGTGCTGTATGACAATGGTCGCTGTACTTGTTAGCAATACACTGGCCTACCAGAAAATCTTGTGCGGCAGTATTAGTGCAAAATTCAGGCTCTTTCGTGATAACTATGGAACCCACGTTGGTTGCGCCAACAGCTGTAAGAGAAAAAAAGCCGTGCTCCCATTTACCAAGCAAAGCCACTCGCTCATTTTCCACAAATAGACTCGGGATAAGCCGGGCAGCATTATGGTTAACAGGAAAAAGGTTTCCTGGAAAATGACGGCGCTCATCAACCTGCCAGTCCACAGGAGCATGGATGCGATGGTATTCGCCTGGTGCAAGATACAGTACACAGTAACACATCTTTTTACCCAATGTTTTATCAGCAAAGAACGACGGCAGGTCGCCAATGAACTCGTCTAGTCTGTAGCGTGCGCCTTTAATCTGTTCCAAAAGCGGTACATTGTTTGAGTCATCCACCTCACCGATCGAGGCTACTGTTCCATCGACGGGACTCGCAAGATGACCTGGAGTTCTATCAAACGGACGAGCACCATCTTTCAGTGGTCGTGAGAAGAATTCACCGAGATTAGCGTAGTTTCGAAGCGGGTACTTCATCTCGTCCAGTTTACAGTCAAACACGGCGGTCCACGCTTTGTACACAGGTTCACGCAGCCACATTGGTCTGCAATGCAATCAAGAATGCACAAATTAATGAAAAAAAACAATGTCTATGCTTATGAACCAGCTATAATGTCATTCGTACAGCTCCTTATTGTGAACCTCTCCCCAAAGTCGACTCACAGCACGATACGGGAAGAGCTTGAGCGACTGCAATTGACGCTCCGTGGCCATCGTATTCTCAAACGCCGTATAATTACTACCAGGAAGACGACGCAATGCTGCCGCTGGATGAGTCTTGCGCTCCTCGTCCGTCGTCTGGGTCAGGTGCTGCCACTGCAAAAACCCGATGAATGCAAAGCCTAACGTGGCCGGGATCTTCCAGATTCCAGAAAAGAAAGTACTGCCAGTGATTTTATTTGATGTGTGTCCATTGTCATTGTTCCTGTATTTCCATTGGGAGAACCGACGGCACCGTTGCGACTGGAAAGCAGTAACCCGGCAGCGGAACATGGCACTAATGCTCTGGAACGGAGATATGGTTCAGAGATTTGTACCATATTTGTGGTACATTTGACGCTAACCAATAATAATCAAAAAAAAGAAAAAAAGAAGAAGCGCTCAATCGCACTGGTGTGAATTAAGATGGATTCATGGGGTGCGATCTCTCTCTGTCTTTCTCTCTATACTTGCACACTATCTATCCATCACTCAACTAGTTAATTGTCTTGCAACCTATTTAACAGCTATTTTCTAACAAATTACTTTGTAACTTGCTTCTGTTTCATTAGATGACGATGAGTTTGAAGTGCCATCGGTGACAAAGGCAGAAGTGACCAACTGGGAAGACGAGGAAGAAGAAGATGAACCGTTGATAGCTTCCAAGCCTGATGCAACTGTATCAAAGGGACTGATCAAGCCGAAGCAGATGAAGAAGATGAAACTCAAAGAGATTGAGGAAAAGCAAAAGATGGAAATTGCTCTTACCAAGGCACGACTCGCAGCTCAGGTGGATGAGACTGACGATCAGCGTCGTGCCCGTGAGAAAGCTTCGATTGAGGAAGCGGACTTTGAGATGGCTATCGATGCATTTGCTGGTGCTCCTCCCAAGCCAGCGGCCGGAGTCACCGATGACACTGACGCTGCCATTTCGTCCATGCGGCTACTATCACTTGCTGATCATGAACACTTGGGTGACGTGGTATCAGCCCGATTGGTAAATTCCAACTCAAAATACGCACTTGAGTGTATTAAAGTGATCTTGACCAAGGCTTCTATGAACTTGACAGCTGACGATATGAAGGAGATTACGACCATCGTCAACGTTGTTAAGAATGAAAAAATTGCAGCTACTAAGCCTAAAGGGAAGAAGAAGAAGCAGACTGGCAAGCAGGGATACGCTAATGTTGAACGTGGTGTCGGGAATGGCGCCGGCACTGGAGGCAAGGCTTACGCCGGCTACGAAGACACTTATGACGACTACGATGACTTTATGTAGGCGGTAGAGGTGCAATATTAAGACTACGCTTGACTTGAAGTGCTAGAAAAGAAAAACAAGGTATGCGTAAGCTACGTGTTTGAACATGCGTAAACAAGTTGAGTTTGCTGTGTCACATTTCTTTCAGGCTCCCTTGAAAAATGCACAGGTATAATAGTTAATGATCACGGTAACAATGTTTTGTGTGACATCGATATCGACAATGACGCGACGCGAATGCCATAGTTATCACGAAAGAGCCTGAATTTTGCACTAATACTGCCGCACAAGATTTTCTGGTAGGCCAGTGTATTGCTAACAAGTACAGCGACCATTGTCATACAGCACGCGGCGAGGAAATGGCACAGTTTAAGGTTGAAATCTTAAAACCTACCGTTTAAGGTGACATACTATTATACAATACTAACTGGTGTTGTACGTGGATCTACAGCTTGGCTCTACGGTTGTGTTGGTGTTTGAGGCTCCCACGTCGTTCCAATTCACTATCAAGCCAGGTGACAAGGTAGGTCATTGTTTGTGTGTCTTGTACGGTTTGCCGCTTAAAGTTAAGAAACTGACGTATACGTGATGCAGCTATTGCTTGGCAAATGTATCGGAAAGGTAGTGGCGTGATGAAACATCGACTGGGACTTTATATATAGCACTAATAATGAATGCCATTGGCACTTTGTGATCGCATGTTGCTAGCCATGCACGCGTTTTCATTTTTGTGAAGTGATGCTGTCAAGGAAGAAGAAACGTTATATCACCAGCAGCTACCATTGACAAAACATGTTCGTAAGGACAATCTGATTCTTTATATTAAGCTACAAGTCATCAACCACAACATCGGCCGAATCCCAAAAGACTGCGATGAATAAATGCATGTATCCCTCCTACTCTTCTCCTCTTTCGTCCAAACTTAGTAGCGATCATACTTTTGCGGCGTCCATGGCGGACAGGGTTACAACAAAGTCATGCAGCAAGGCCAAAAACAAGATCCACGATAGCAGTCACGGTGACATTCCGCTGCAAATCGTCTCATCTCAAAGAAGATCTATCGGCCGAGGTTGGTCAAGAGCTTATGGAAGACAATGAGTGGGAGAGAAATGACCGCCGTTGTATTCCGGGCTCACGCTTTGGCTTAGCTGTCGCCGCTGGTGGCCAGAAGCGTGAGCCCCGGTAGCAACCACCGCTGCCATCACGTCTGTGCCGCCAAGAATGGTTTTCTACGTCATTTGCAAAGAGCTGCTTGCCAACCTCTGCCGACAGTTCATCCCCGTGATGACGGGACGAATTGGCACCGAGGCCAAAAACAGGAGCCCCGATAGCAACCGCCACCACCACCACGCCACTTTTCATCACTCTCAGATAGCGGAACTTTCGCCATAGCCAGGAGTTCGCTGAGCTGTTCTTCCTCCGAGACGTGATGCAAATGCGCTTCGATCAACCAATGCGTCTAATATGTCAGTGCGATAGAGGCTAACGCTAGCACAAACCTGTTTGGTACCTTTTTCCTCTGTTACCACAGCACCAACTTCCAGTCCGTCAGTGACAGGCATGAGAGCGACAGCTCCGACCGCCACAGCCAAGAGTGCTACTAAAGAAGACGCCTCATCACTCTTGCTCACTACTTCCAAAACTTTTTTCGTTTGTTTGTTTGCTGCCCTCAAGGAAGAAAGCAGAATGAGTATGAGGAGATTGGTTGGCCGGAATGGCTGATCAGTGTTAGTCGACGATTCATTCATGTTTCAGTTCCAGTTCCGATGAACTTCTTTGCAGCCTTTGCTAAACTGCCAGTCATATGACATCAAACTGCTTACGAAACAAACAACAAAATCATTGAAACAATGACAGCCAATGAACGATGATTGCTATGTGTAGAAGCAAGATAATGAAGAGGCTCGCCTAACGGGTGCTCCATTCGCGAAATTACTAACGTATAGCTATTACCATCACCTTCTAATCGAACTTTGCGTACGAGTAACTCATTGTAGCATTCACGTCATCCTGTAAATTTTAAGACTCTCATTGTAGCGCTCACCAACGCAACGCCATTGATAGGGGCAGACTTCACATTGGTGTCCGAATTGCTTGAGGTCATCTGCGTGACAGGCTTGCTCAAGTAAGCGTCAGCAAAGCTGGTATTAATGCCGATATAAATATCGCAAACACCAGCAGCAGGACCGCCTTTTATCCCAACGATGCTTAGTGCACCAATGCATCGCTAGCGACTCCCAAAATATTCAGCGCAAAACCTTCTCGCGGCATCGACGTCAAATACAATTTATTGACGCCTTGGCCAATGCCCAAACAAATCTATTTAGAGCAACCACCACTAGTGAATACCTATCACCGTCGAGCAGACCACACGTTCGCTATAAGAAAGACCACGACAACAACCAAAGGATATGCAGTAAGCTTCGTTGTACACAATATGCGTCATATACTTCATCTCGTAGTAATGCGCTTGCTGTGTTTTGTGACAGACAAAACATATCGTTGTTTAAGTAGTAGTAACAGACACTCTCATTTCAAGTAAGCACAAACAGGACCATGTGCTGTTTGCTTCAACTTGGAGCATAGCAAAGATGGATAAATACTCATCTTTGCTATGCTCCAAGTTGAAGCACGAAGCAAATCGACCACGTCACAGCCATTTGAGTATGCGCTTTCTTAAACTCTTTTGATTGATGCTAGATATTAGCAAATGCCAGCAAGATGAAAGCACTAAAGAGTTCTAAGTCATTATGACACCTTTTTTCAAGCAAGTTGTTGAATGGCTAGCTCATGAATTAGTATTCCCATGTTTCATCATGTAGCCATGTTATTCACTGCTAAGTCGTAAATACTCTTTTTTTTACGCCAGGGTAAAAATACCACGTGTTGTAAGTTCTCTCCCTCATAAATCCAAGAGCTATCGTCTAAAAAAATGGCAAAGAAGGCGTTTTCCCTCATAACGATATGTCTTGCAGCCTTCGTACTTGCAGTGCAGGCTAAGTCTGGCCCTACGATCACCAGTAAGGTCTTTTTTGACATTGAAATTGATGGCAAACCTGCAGGTCGCATTGTCATGGGCTTGTACGGCAAGACGGTGCCCAAGACGGCGGAAAACTTTCGCGCGCTGTGTACGGGTGAGAAGGGCGTGGGTAAAAGTGGGAAACCCCTGCACTACAAGGGCAGCATCTTCCACCGCGTCATTCCACAGTTTATGTTGCAGGGCGGTGACTTTACTCAGTTTAACGGCATGGGCGGCGAGAGCATTTATGGTGAAAAGTTCGATGATGAGAATTTTAAACTGTACGATTATTGACTTACCTTATTAGTAGTGCCGAATCATGTTACTATTGTATTGACCCTATCTTCTTTATTGCTCTGCAGAACCCATACTGGTAAGGGTATTCTTAGCATGGCCAACTCGGGCGCCAACACGAACGGCAGCCAGTTTTTCATCTGCACGGTCAAGACCTCGTGGCTGGATGGCCGCCATGTCGTCTTTGGTCGTGTCTTGGAGGGAATGGACGTGCTGGACGCCATTGAGGCTGTGGGATCCCCAAGCGGCACCCCTAGCAAGAAAGTGGTCATCGTGGACAGCGGTGAGCTGGACGAGTCTGCCGACTATGCCGAGGTAGAGTAGGCTCACTATGCAGACATGCATTCTAAAGCCCTAGTGGTCGTCGCTAAAGTTGGTCAGAGTTGAGACTGCAACGCATGTTTTGATGCGCTAGTATGCGTTTCGGTCAGCCATACCAGCGTGATAACTTGCTAGCTAGCATAGCTTACGTAAGCCTTGTTGAAAGTCAAGGTAGTAAACCACCATGCCTTTTAACTTTGAGATTTTGCTTAATTTGTCTTAATCCTGGTATTTCGTGACCAAGTGGTAGAGTGTTAATCATAATAATAGCAGCTGAAGACAAAGGTCTACTCGCGTTACGAGCAAAGATTTACAACCGCAATGAAAGCAGTTGAAATGATTTTGAGGACAGCAAGTCGTGGTAACAGAGCTATTAAGTTGTACGACGGAACCGCGTTATGAAGCTCTAATGCCCGACCAAGTAGCAACACCTAACAGATCAAATAAAACGAAAGCAAATTTGATCCGCGCTCGTGCACATCTTGTTAGACAGAATACGTGATAAGTACCGCTATGATTGCAAGTATTGCAGCGAAGCCAAGCGACGTGAGCAGCCGCATGTGGAAGCGGGTAAATGGGTATGTAATAAGGTCCAAAATGCGCTTCTTGGTCAGCGTGTATGGAGGGTAGCGCTGCGGAAGGTCTAATATACCATTCTTGTATAATACCGTCTTGTTATGCGAAAAGGTTATAAAACCATAGTAACCATGGTAAGCTCCCATACCAGATTTACCCACACCTCCAAAAGGCACGTTCAAATTCGTCAATTGCATCATAACATCATTGATAACCATGCTGCCGGCCGACGTCTCATTCACTAGGCGCTCCTTGTTCTTGCCATCCGAGCTAAAGTAGTACAGTGCAAGTGGCTTTTCTCGCGCAGCGACAAAGCTAATCGGCTCATCCAAATTACCATCGCCGTAGTAATAGATCGGCAAGAGCGGACCAAAGATTTCCTCACTCATCGAAGCGCTCGACACGAACAAGCTATGTTCTGTGCGGAAATTCAAGAGCGTAGGTGAAATAAAGCGCTGTTTGTCGTCGGTCTCACCACCATATGTCACAGATTTGCGGTCTTTATCCAAAATGCACGCCAAGCGGTCGTACATGCGTTTATTAATCACACGGCCATAGCTAGCTGACTCCTTCACGTTAGTATCGCCGTACTGCAGTGCTATTTCCTTTATAAGCAAGTCAACAAACCGATCTCCCACTTTTATGTCCACAAGCACATAGTCCGGACGAACACAGGTTTGTCCAGCATTAATAAAAGCACCCCATGCAATGCGCTTTGCAGATAGATTTAAATCAGCTGTGTCGTCAACAATACATGGTGATTTACCTCCCAACTCCAACACCGTTGGTGTCAAGTGCTGTGCCGCAGCCTGAGCCACAATATTGCCCAAGAATTTGCCGCCCGTGGCAAAGACAAGGTCAAAACGTTCTTGCAGCATTTTCCTGGTCTCCTCCACTCCTCCATATACCACGCGCACGTAGCGTTTATCCATGTATTCATCAAATAATCGAACCAACACATTATTCAAATACCGTGTGGTGTCATCTCCTGGCAGTCTCACGAGCACACAGTTACCCGCTCCTACAGCTGCCACCAATGGCATCAGCAACAGGTTGATCGGATAGTTCCATGTACTTATGACGCACACAACACCCAAAGGTTCGGGTCTAACATAGGACAATCCTGGGAGATTTAGGATGTTTGTGGGTTTGAGAGTAGGTTTTGCCCAGTCGTCCATGTAGTCGAGGTAATTCTGGATCTCGAACTTTACTAGCGATAATTCCGTAGCTAATAGTTCCAATGGATGCTTGTGCAAGTCCTTCCACACGGCCTCATTGATAGTTGCCTCGTTCTCGTTCACAAGACGCTGCAATGCTTTAAGGAGAGACTTACGTGTCTCCACGTCCTTGGTAGCGCCTGTGGCAAAGCTAGTGCAGAGTGCCTTAACATCGGCATGTGTGTCTTGCTTAGAAACGTCAGGAAGTGCTGGAACATTTGAGATAATGCCATTCATCTTAATCGTTCTAACCCTTCACCGACTGTTCTGTATTCTAAATGACGGATCGCATAAAACCTAAATGATCATAAATTGTACATAATAATGGAAACCACATCAAGACTGAAAAAACGAAAATTTCACGTCGGTTTTCCGTAAACACGCAAGGCCGATTGAATGAGGCAGCTAATACACTCCAAGACGTGACAGGAACGTCAGTCAGTCTTCGGAGAGCTGCTGGACAGACTCACGAGAAAAGAACAAGTGATATGTCGACCTCGTGTCTGAGCATTCTGTGATGAAAAGACCAGTGAATAAGATAACCTTTACCACACATTATGATAAACAACGCGATATTCTGTCATTTTTCCTGCCACATTTCAACCAAAACCGCCGACCCGTCTCAGCTTTGTCACATCCACGCTGATTCTTGACCTGTTTTTTCCGAGATGCCACAATGTCTTCCTATCCGACACAGAAGAGAGAGAACAGACTGTCTATTTACTGGTTAGTGAAAGATCTCTGATAGGTAGTAGTTAACCACACTAGCAACGCTGGAGGGTCCAGGCATTGCCCACGCTGGCTATGAAGGCCGCGCTGCCCTCTCTGTTCTGATATAGATATGTCGTAGCATGCAGAAAGTTGGGCACCCCGCACGGCCGTGTCAGCCCTGCAATGGAGGCGTTTAATGAACGCCCGCAGTTGGAGCTGAATCCTTGCCCAAATCAAGGCTTCACTGGCTTGCATCGGGGTATCCGCATTGTGAAAGGCGGATACCCCGATGCAAGCCAGTGAAGCGCAGTATACGCGATGTTGCCAGAGCATTGTGATAATGACGGTCCCTACGACCACCCATATCGTCCTCTGGGCCGCGGTGAATTGATCGATGTCGTCTGGGTATTGGGTTAACAGCATTGCTGTGGATCGCGGTGAAAGGCGGGTACACTACGTTATGCGCAGTGCTCGAGCCATTTCAGTAGGTTATAAGGCTTACGAGGTGTGCTCTTCCAATGACTAATGAGCCGGGCCAGACTGCCTGAGCACGGGGACATCCCTAAAAGAGATGCTATTAGGTCTTTTTCTGTCCGACACATTCTCGATGCGTGCAAGTCCCGTCCGGAGGCCGGTCTTGATACCACAAGCTTAGCTGACTGGTAAAAAAAAAGCGTGGCGGTACCGTGTCCATAGCTGATATTCTGTCACCGCGTGTCCGTGACCCCATATATGAGCCGGCAAGACATTGAGAGCTGCTCGTTGCCACCGCTTTTGCTGGCTCTTGGTGCGCAGTCTATCAATTACCTGCTTCAGCGGTGCTGCAAGACACCGCTTGGACGACTTGAAAGCTTGCCGTTTCAGGAAAGAAAAGACGCGGCAATTGGGATTACTATGGGCGGAGCGGACCATGGTTAATGGTGGACCTGTGGATTGGAAAAAAGACGACCCCGTTTCGGTGAGCTTGCTCTCCGCGAGTTTTAGTGAGTTCATGCGTTTCCCTCTGGACCTTCAATGGCTCCCCGTTGAAAACCCAAGCAATTCCATGATGACATTGAGTGAGCTTCCAACTCTGAGGGTGAGCAGAATTGCAGAAAGAGAAGCGCCCGAACCCTGCCTGGCCCGACCTGCACCCATGCGATGGCTTGCGTGAAAGGGGGCTGACGCTGTAGCCACCGAACCTCCGACGTTTAAGTGACGGCGACGAACGTAAGACGATGATCGCCCATTCTCAAAGTTTAGCATGTGAATGGCGGGGAGCGAGAAAGTCCGTGCAAATACCGCCGAAGACGTATTTTTGGGGTCCTGTCCGCTGTATATGGAGTTGTTCAAAGCAGACATCGCCAATCCTGTCCTAGTTGGATCGGGATAGTGCCGACGCATGTGGTTTGAAAATCCAAGGGTTTTACACTATCGGAAAGTCAGCCAGAAGTCTTCGATCTCCTTCCCTGTCGGCTTCAGTCGACTGAAGCCGACAGGGAGGAAGTATAGAGAAATACAGCACCCAGCCGTTTTCTTCTCACTAGCTGGTCGATGATGACCGAAAGGTCGGTAGATGGTCATGTACCGTTTGCGCGGGTGTTGGCGTCAGCATGCATCCAAGCTCATGAAGCTACATTCGGATACCGCTCGGATGACGGCGATATACTATGTTTTTTACGCTCGGTCGATGCGGACCGATGGCCGTGATGTGTGCACCATGCGTAATCCAGGACACCCACGTTGAGTAATAAACATCCTCCGGCCGAGTAAGTGCCAGTAGCGCGTTTTACCCGCTGGGTTTTAATGGCGACGGGGACCGAAACGAGGCCGATACCGCCTGCCTTCCGGGGGATGTAAAAGGAGGCCTGGAGCGACTTTGTGTCCCCCAGGTTCGATTCTGTTGAACGTTTTCCAGAGGAATTGTTTGTAAAGCTGATCCAGCTGTTGGAGCGCCCAGCTGGGGGGGGCTCGAAGACCGCAGTTGTAAATGAAATCAAGGGTAGAACTATCGCATCGAGTATAAAAACGCGGTGGTCGAGGGTCATCGATACTCGCGTTGCAGTGAGGAGGCGGCGCTGTGCATTTTGATGCGGAGAACCCACTTAATGTTGCGTAACTTTCTGTACCCACTTTATAGCCGAGATACCTCGTAGTTGCTGACGGAGGAACCACTGCGATTCCCTGGGACGTGAGTTGACGGGTAGCCGTGTTTAAAATATAATTTGGCTTTTTGTCGGTTGCACCTGTAACCCCAAAAGCCGTCCGAACTCTATAACGATGCCCATAGCCGGTCGTAGTAGACTGGCTTTTGTTTGGAAAAACAGTGTAGAGTCGTCGACAAACCCCGAAATTATATGGGTCTGTGATCGTTCTCCTGGAAGTGTGAGCCCGTGAAGATGGAGCGACGTTTGTATTGCAACGGCCAGCACCTCAACCACCACCAGGAAAAGAAGAGGAGCAAGAGGAGAACCCTGCCGAATGCCAGGCCGCACCATCCAAAGTGAAGACCGCACCGTCCAAAGTGAAGACCGCTCTCCGTTGACCAAAAACCGTGCTGTCGTGTTGGTATGAAGTCTTTAAACGAGCGCAATAAAAATTCATTCAACCCGAATAGTCGGAGCGCCTCTACCATGAAGTCGCGGTCGACCGTATCGTGGGCCTTTGAAAATCCAGTAAAACGATGGCACGGCTGGCGTCGGCGTTCAAATTACGCTCCTCACGTGCTCTTTGGAGGTGAGCAATACCGTCTTTTGCATTTGTCGTCCGTGAACAAAGCCTTGTTGAGAAGAACCGTGACATATGGCAGACACTTCAGCATATGCGACGCCAAGACCTTCGCAATAACATTGTACCCCGTGCAACAGGGAAATTGGTCTATAGTCCATGGCGTCGTCAAAATCCTCTTTCTTACGTAGCGGAATAATGAGCGCCTTCATAAACGACTTGGGTGGTTGTGCACCTTGGGTGATCTCGTTAGCTTTTGCCACCAACGGTGGTACCAACAGCATTTGAAGATCCTTGTAAAAATCATCCCCTGAGCTGTCGGTGCCAGAGGCTTTATGCCGCATTGCGAGTACCACCTCTAATTCCGTTATTTCTGCCGTCAGGGAACGGTTTACGGCGGTTAGGGAGAGTGACAAATTGCTGCAGAGCCTAACGCAGTTCTGTGACCGGGACTGTACGGTGGCTTGTCCCAGCACATAATCCCATTCAAAACTAAACTTGTTGAACGGGTTACCGTGGAGTCTTATGATGACTGTAACACTTTGATCACGCTCACAGTCCGATACCCGTTTGAATTTCGTGCGAAGTTTGTCCGTTGTACTCAAAGAACTAAGTCAACCTGGCTGATGTGGGCCTCCTGTTGATCCTCGGTTTGAGCGTTATGCCAGGCCTCTCAAGTAAGCAGTAACCTTGGCGGTCGCCTTCGCAGCTTGGCGATGTACCGTGTCCGCCGTTGCCTTAGCCTGCGGGCGATAGTTGTGATCCCTCGTCGGACGCGGCGGACGCGTGATCCCAGGTCAAGACCGTAGATACCTCAGTAATGCCACTGTCTGTGAGGCAATCGATGGTGCCGTCCGGGTTTGCACAACGTATGTGGTACGCAACTTTACCGGGATGACGGTGCCGGCCCCGTTTCCCAGAAGAGATATGCAAGGTGACTTGCTGGTAATCCGAAGCTGGCGGGGGAAGAATTGCCTCTAGCTTTTGCACTCGGTCCACCCATGTGTGGGATAGTAGAAACGATCGATCCTGCTGGCTGCTGACCCCGTCCAATACGTGAAGTGGGTTGATGGCTCCCACTCCAGGTCGTCGTCCGGGTGAGGAACTGAATCCAGCGCGTCGACTAGCTGACACATGTCAGCGAGGGAATCTCTTGCTGGACTTTCTGAGCGACTAGCCGAGCGTAACCCCATCCGGTCGAGCGAGGGATGGTAGACGCAATTAAAATCTTCGGTTAGAACGACTATGGCGGGGGGGGAGGCGCGGCGGCTCTTCCAGCCCCTCGAAAAACAATTTCCTTTCCGCCCGTTCGTTGGGTGCGTAAATGTTATCGAGCAGAAAATTGACCTGGACAGATAACGCAATTTGCCTTGGCGTGGTCAGGAGACCAGGCCATGGTTGTGCCGACTGGGCCATGTCCGGTGTTAAAAAAAAGCCACCCGCGGCTTGGCGCGTCCCCAGACTTTAGTAAGAAAGTGGTGACACTAAACTTACCGTGGATATTCTCCAAAACCTTCTCCACTCACGATCTAATGCCACCGCTTCATCCTGAGAGGCGACGTGGGTTTCTTGTAGACACCAAATATCCGGTCGCGTTCTTCGTGGCACATTCCGCCATGCTCCCTTCATTTTGGACGAGATTTGCAAGAAAAACCGCGTGCATTCTGCGTAATTATCCTTTGATTCGTAGCTGTTGAAATTTCTCGCCGAGAACGCGTGAGGTCGGTGGAATATCAGTCTCATCGTGCATGTGTAGACCGTACGCATCGGCTCTATCCCCGCTTGAAGTTGGAAGCGATGACCAAGTTGTGATCTTTGGT